TACATCTAATCAGAAACTGCTTGGTTCCTCCAATGATTTTCTTGCTATTAATGAACTAAGGGATATGTCTGTTGTGTCGAATGTTATTGAAGCTCATAGGGTTCATAGACAGAAATGACTTTTGATTGCTTTACTCTCTGACAGTGTGCACCAGCACCTTCCAGAACAATGAAAGCCAGTCAGCAGGGATGAAGCTTCTAGGTGAGAGCCAGCTTGACTTCTCCATATTTTAAGACTCAACTATGCAATAGTGTCTTACCATCAAGTTATGGAGGGTAACCGAGAGCATTGGCAATAGTCTGCAATATTTAGATGTCTATCAAAACTCGGGCCAAAAAAACAACAACAAAAACAAACAACAACAACAAAAACCCTTCAAATAAGTTCCTGGTACTAGGTTTTTATTTTATTTTTTTGCTTAAGTCTCCATGGGATTGTTTGGAAATGTATTCAGTGATAGTTACTCCCTCCCTCCCTCCATTGCTTCCTCTCTCCTCCTTTCCCCTACCCTATTTAACCTTTCCTGTTCCATTATTTCCCTTTTAACCCTTAAGACGAAGGCATTCTGTCTCCCCTTTACTAACTCCCTAACTTCTAAGGGTATTCCCACAGCATAATAAGGCAATACACAGGAAACCCATAGCCAACATCCTCTAAATGAAGGAAAAAAAAAGTATTTCTACTAAAATTGGTAATAAGACAAGAATTTCTACTCCCTCCTCATGTTCAATACAGCAATCAAAGTCTTAGCTAAGGCAACAAGACAAATAAAGGAAATAGATAAAGGGCTAAAAACAGGAAAGGAAGAAGTCAAAGTATCTTCCTTTGCTGATGGTATGATTCTATACACCAAGACTCCACCAGAAAACTCCTGCAGTTGATAAACATTCTGAGAAGTATCAGGGTATGAAAATTAGTATGCAAAAACCAGCAGCATTCCTGTATACAAGCAGCAAACATACTGAAAAAACGAGGTCAGGAATCACTACCTTAGACAATAGCCTCAAAAATATCTTGGAATAAATATAGCCAAGGAAGTGAAAGCCTTGTGCAATTCAAAGTTTCAGAAAAATGAAAACAAAAGGAATTAAAGAAGAAACCAGAAGGTACAAAGACTTTTTATGTTCATGGAGTGGTAGAATTAATATTGTGAAACAGGCTGTGTTGCCAAAAGCAATTAACATATTCAGTGCAATCCTCACCAAAATTCCAATCCAATTCTTCACAGAAATTGCAAAAATTATCTTAAATTTTGTGTGGTAATAAAAAGATCCAGGATAGCAAATGCAATCTTGAACAATTAAAACAAAGCAAACAATAAGCTGGCTATACCACCATCCCAGACTTCAAGTTTCAGTGCATGCATGGTAATAAAACCATCATGACAGTGGCATTAAAGCAGACTTGTTAATCAATAGAATAGAATTGAAGACCCACATATATTTCTACACTCCCATAGTGATCTGATATTTTACAAAGTGGCCAGCAATCCATAGGTGAGATAAGATAAGATCTTCAGCAAATGGTGCAGGTCAAACTGAATAGCTGTGCAAAAGAATGAAACTAGAATTTTTATCTCTTACCACGCACAAAACTAAACTCCAAATGGATTTAGGACCTCAGCCTAAGACTTGGTAACCTGAATCCTACAAAAGAGAAAATCAGGAATACATTTGACTTACTGCTACAGGAAATGATTTTTTGAACAGAATTCTAAAGTGCACTGATAATTACATTATGACCAACAATATAATAAATGTGACCTCATGAAACTAAAAACTTCTATACAGCAAAGTATACCACAATTCAACTGAAGAGATAGGGTATAGAATGGGGAAAAATCTTTATTATATATTTGACAGAGGGTTAGGGGGTTGGTTTCTAGAACTAAATAAAATAGCTCAAAAACTAAACATCAAGAAAACAGAAAATCCACGTCACACATAGGGCATAATATAAAACATTGGGCATAACACATGAACCAAACAGAAAGTCCTCAAAAGCTGAAGCACAAACAACCGAGAAACATTAAATATGTTCAACATCTTTTACTATCAGATAAACACAAATTAAAACTGCCCTGCGATTTCTTCTTACCCTAGTCAGAATGGATAAGATTGAACAGGAGACAAAAACAAAGGTGGTAATCTGGTGTAGGTTTAGGGAAGAGGGAACACTAAAAATTCTCTGCAGGTAGGAGAACAACTAGCATAGCCAAAATTGAAATCAGTGTGCAGTTTCATCACAGAGCTATAAATAGACCCAGCACATGATCTTGCTATAACACTTGGGCATATACCCAATGGACTCTATAGCCCTCTATAGATATACCTCATCATTCATATTCATTGCTGCCCTGTTCACAATAGCCAGGAAACAGAGCAGCCAAGATGTCCATTAACTCATGAATGGATAATAAAAAGGTGGTACATATACACAACAGAATTACATTCAGCTGTTAAGAAAAAAAAGAAATTATGAAATTCACTGGTAAATGGTTGTATCAAGAAACAATCATTTTGAGTGAGATAACCTAGTCCTAGAAAGAAAGGTTGAATTTTTTCCCTCATTTGGTGGATGATAGTTTTGAATCTTCAGATACGTGATACCTCTTCTCATATGGCCTCTTTCTTTTTTTTTCCAATTGAGTTGCTTATATCTTAAGAAATTTTAGCTTTCAGGGTTTCTACTTTGGGATTGCCTTCATAGTGACATTTAGGACTTTGGACTTTGGGTCTTTCAGGACATTAGCATTAGGGTCCAGAATTGGTGCTGAGGATATTAAGAGTCACCCATATCTAGGACAGCATTCTGCAGGTCATCCCATCAGTCAAAGTAGAAGCTTGGTGGGTGTCAGTGCTTTGCTACCTAATGTGTTTTGACATTTTGAGGTTCTAGTAGGTTGACATAGGCACAGAAACAAGGCATTTATGGCCAGCATGAGCAACAAATCAAGATGGTGGCATCGTGGGGGGGGGGGGGTGGGAAAGGAGAGAGAGAAGCAGGCTTCATGGTGATTTATGTGGCAAGTTTATGTATTGTCTCAGGTGTAGAGTTAAAGACTTCCTGACAGATTTTATGAGGTTTAGGGAGAAATTTGGGGTCTGAAACATGCTTTCTGCAACCTCTGCCCCTTCTTCAATCCAGTATTTTTATATTTGGGGATGGTAAAACTATTACTGGAGACATTAAATGATGGATGATGACAACATGTGAATGTGATGAGAGAAAGCAAGACATACAATTAACCAAAATAACCAAGCATTGATAGTGGGTTTGCATTGTGAAATTTGAATCCTAGAGAAGAGATTACATATACTGCTGTCTAATAATTTTGTCAGATGAAATATTGAGGGGATATCTCTGGCCTTTCCCCAACCTCTACCTGTATCCTTCCTGTCCTGTAACCTCCCCAAGCCTCATTTGTTATGCCCAGTCCATCTTAGTACTGATGAAATCCTTCCCTGCCCTGCAATTGCTACCTCCAAGTTCAGATCTTGCGTCTTTGTGACAATCCTTGATACTACACTGAGCTTTACTCATGAGGCTATAGTTCCTCTTATAGACCGGAAAAGTACACCACACAGGCACATTATCCCTGTGGTCATCCTGCAGTGGTTTAAGAAATGACTACCCATTGTTTGAGATCGACAGGGAAGTGCTATAATCAAAAAAGTGACACCCTGATCTCCCCACAACTCCTTCTAAATAGTGGCTTGGATATAAATGTGGTTACACAAGAATGAATTCCTCCCACTGTGATTTCCAAATCCAGAGTAATAGTAGTACAGTCCCTAATGCCCAATTTGTGGAGAGTCAGCAAACCTGTACATTGCAATGAATAACACCACAATCAGATCCAGAGCCCCCTGAGCTGTTAAGCCTCAATATATGTTTTTAATATTAGTTGATCTGGATTTAATATGAACCAAGTATCCCAGTTAATTAAATGTGTTGCTAGGAAAAATTTCAAAGCTTAATTCAAAGTCATATTCAAAGGCCTTGGGTGTCATTTTAATATCACCAGAGTATTGTTGGTTCATCTTCAATGAATCATAAGCACCAGGTCAGTGAATAGTTGCATTTTCCTTATTTCTCAACACTAGCTATTTACAAAATGTCGCCTCTGGAAAGCACTCCTGGGCAGGAGAAACGCCTGTCAAACTATGCCTCAGGAGTTTCTGTGAGTCAGGCCCAAGAGACCTCCTAAGGAGAGCCACATTTTGGGTGTTGAAGTGCCATGAGACCCCGGAGTGTGGAAATACACTGTAGGGAACACTTAAAGAGAATGATTGGTAGTAAGGCAATACCCCAATCAAAGCTTAGGAAGAAGGGGGTCACTCCTGAGCCGACCTCACACTTTTAGGCATCCAAAGGTCAGGCTCCCACATGGTTTCGCAAGAAATTCAGGAGCCAACACCATGACCTCATCCCCCAAATCCTCCAGATTAGCAGTCAACCTTAAGCACCTGGTGACCAAGACTGATTTTAATGCCCTCACCTAAGGCTCCTCACAGTGGGAGGGTAAGTTCCTCATTCTCTTGATGGCAGGAGACATAGACAAGAACAAAGACAGACTTGAACAAACACAGGAAGTGTGTCCGACTTAAGAGTAGTAGATGTTCCTACCTAATGCACCAGGGGTAGCAGACAGACACAAAGGAAAAGACAGAAAAGAAAGCGGGTCCCCACGCTTGCCTTCACGAGGACCAAGAACACGAAACACGAAGGGGCCAACTCACCGAACAAGTCACTGAGGAGGGGATGCCAAAACGTACCGGGAGCATGAAGAGAGTCCAAAAGGTTGCAGATAGAAAAGGGAACGTTCACCAAAGTAGGATCCAGCAATGCACCGCCAGCCACAAAAGGCAAAGATCAAGGCCCAAACAAAAAACAGCTGAGACGATGGGGAAAAAATACTCTGATTCAAGCAGGGCCAAGGCCCGTGCCAGCACAGGATACAGGAGCCCTAAGTCTAGGCAGCAGGTGCTAGGGCTTACCTTGCTCGGACACCCCTTCAGGGAGGCGGGTGAGATGCTGCTGCACCAACGACCCAGGCACCAGGAGTCAGTGAGTGGCAGAGCTTGCTGCAGACTCATTTATTAAAGAAGTTAGGCCTCCATTTATAGCCCTTCCTCAAGGTCCTATTGGCTCAGGTCGCTGACTCGCTGCGTTGGCCTTTCCTCATTGGTGTCTCTGGATCAGGTGTCTCTCTGTCAGCAGTCTCTGGGCATAGAAGCAGGCTTGGCAGCTTGGCTCAGGGAGGAAGTGTCTGCCCTGCATGCCGGTTGGCCTGGGCACGCGGAGGGCATGGGGCAGGATGACTGTGGCTTGGGTGGGCTGGCCACAGTTTCTCCTACATATTCTATGTCATTAAATGTTGGAAGCATGCAGTTTATTCTTTAATTTTACAGGGGATTACAATAACAAGTTTCCCTTGAGTATCAGGACAAACCTTGAACTTTGGAATTTAAACGCTATTGAGACTACAATACTTTGGAGACATCTGAAATTGGATTAAATGTGTTTTGTATATTGATACAAATTTGAGATTAATTTTGCTAGAACATACGGTACATACATTTCTAATCTTGTTTGAGGTATTGTACTTATACAGCTCATTTAACAATGTAATGCGAATTTCTAGTTCTTGAAAGCTATTATTACCAGATACATAGGATAGTAAGGAAATACAGGTTAGTAATTAGTCACCTATTACAATCACACTTGTAGTCACAGTAGGTATGTTTTCAAGGTCAAACAGCTATATTTTAGAAGACAAGTTATCTTCAAATACTTCAAAGATCTACATAATATGCCATTTAAGATGTTTTAAAACGTAGGTTCTTCTTTTATGACAATGAGACATGTCTTCTCCTAGCAACACCAATCTACTTCAGTGAAGGTGATGGGCATCAAATAAACTCCACGTAGAGTTTACTTTCTTTGTGGCAAAATTAAGCCACGGGGCAAGAAAGTGCCCTTGCCTCAACTGCTGACATTACGCTGTCCAAATTAGACAAACAGGACACAAAAGAAATGCCTGCTAAGCTTCCTAAGACAAGGCGGGAGAGCCCTTCAAAAATCCTGCTTCACGGAAAGGTCTGCCAGATATTTGAGGCCTACAGGCCAAAGATGGATGCCACACCATTGCAGAGGAACCTTGGGTGATTGTCCAGGCAGCCAGCTATTCCTGCCATTTCTCATGTTTTCTGTAAGTTGCTTGCTTGCACTTCCTGCTTACTCAGTAATAATTTCCTTCTCGGGTCTCTGAGGGAGTTACAGTCTAGATAATTAGAGTTTTTCTTGTTTACTAGATGCAGAAAATAAACTCACTAAAAAGAGTAAAGTTATAAGGTTGAGGGATATTAAAGGATAGTCTTGGATGGTATTGCAAGTGATGATAGAAAGTAAATTAGGTACAAGATTTTGAACTCACTAAGATAGGACAGATAATGAAGTATTTCTCTGAATTTGTCAAATGCAAATGGAATAGAAATTGTTGATGTACTTATTGACTGTATATATAAGGCAGGAGGAGACAGAAGCTGAGGGCATTCTGAGGTTTGGTGGATCACTCCTTTGATCAGCACATTGGCAGAGGTGAGAACTCTCTAGTGGCTGGCCTCTTTGCTTCTCTGATTTTTAGCTTTAACTTCAATATCTGTCTCTGGGTTTTTATTATTGGTGCTCATGTTACAACTCATAACAGTAACAAAATTGCAGTTATGAAGTACACCAAAAATAATTTCATGGTTAGGGGTCACCACAACATGAGGAACTGTATTAAGGGGTCACAGTATTAGGAAGGCTGAGAACCACTGATTTGGGCTGCTATTGTCTGTGGGCTTCCTATAAATTGCCCTTATTTGGTTAAGGTATGTCCCCTGTGTCCCTAGTTTCTCTAGGAATTCAATCCTGAAGTGATGTTAGATTTTCTGCATCCAATGAGATGATCATATGATTTTTTAAAATTTTAGTCTGTTTCTGTGGTGGATTATGTTTATTGATTTATGTATATTGAACCATTCTTGTATCTTTGGGATGAAGTTAACTTGATTGTGGTGGATAATCTTTTTGATGTCTTCTTGGTTTGTTTTACAAGTATTTTATTGAAAGTTTTGGACTTATGTTCAAAAGGGAAATTTGTTTATATTTTAATATTTTCTCAACCATTATGTGGTTTTGGTATCAGGGTAATACTGACCTATTAAAAAGAGTTTGGAACTGTTGCTTAATTTTCTGTTTTTCAGAATAACTTAAGGAGTATTGATATTAATTCTTCTTTGAAGGTCTGGTAGGATTCTATGCTGAGTCCCTCTGACTCTGGGTTTTGGTTTTTTGTTTGGGAAACTTTGTATTAATTTTTATTTAAATTAAAAATGATCTTACATATCACACCTAGTTCCCTCTCCCTGCCATCCTCCCATTCCCCATACCACCTCCCCATCCCACATGCCATCCAATCCTCAGGGAGGGTGAGGCCTCCCATGGGGGATCATAAAGTCTGTCACATCATTTGGGGCAGGACCTAAGCCCTCCCTCCTATATCTAGACTGAGAGAGTATCCCTCCATATAGAACGGGCTCCAAAAAAGCCAGATCATGTACTAGGGATAAATATAGGTTCCACTGCCAGTGGCCCCATAGACTGCCCAAGCCCCCAACTGACACCCCCATTCAGTCTTATGCAGGCTCTCCAGCTGTCAGTCTGTAGTCCATGAGCTCCCACTTGCTCAGTCCAGTTGTTTCTGTGGGTTTCCCAAGCATGGTCTTGACCCCTTTGCTCATCACTCCTCCCTCTCTAGTTCAGCTCATTGCTTACCTGTGAATCTCTGTTTCTGCTTCCATCAGCTACTGGATGAAGGCTCTATTGATGTCATTTAAGGTAGTCATCAATCTCATTATAGTGGAAAGGCATTTAAGGCAGAAATCTATGTGTGTCATGACAGGCCAAAGGGATCGACAGGATCTCCCAGGATTCACTCTGCTTGATGTCCAATACTCCATGCTTTCTGTCTGTTTTTGTCAGCACAAATAAAGGGATGCAGCGAAACCTGACATGGCAGAGAGCAAGGAGAAGTGTAGGAGTGAGAGATCAGGAGTAGCTGGGAAGGTGGCATTGGACCTGGACCATTGCTCTGGAAATGTCTTGTCACCTTTTCTCTTTGCTGTGATGAAATTCCTCATTCTCCTCTTCATTTCTCACCCTATGGTTTTTTTAATTTAGGCTAGAAACAATTTGTTTCACATGTCAATCCCAGCTCCCTCTCCCTCACCTCCTCCCCCCCTTCCCCACCAGGTCTCCCAACCCCCCACCCAATCTCCAGTCCAATCCCCAAGGAGGGTGAGGCACTCCATGGTGGATCTCCAGTTACTGTCATTTCATCCAGGGCAGGGCCTAGGACCTCCCCCCAGGAGTCCCGGCTGAGAGAGCCTCCCATGTTGTGGCATGGGCACTCAAAGTCTATTTGTATGCCAGGGATAAATACTACCCAAGGCAACATAGATTACCTAGGCCTCCTCACTGACACCCACATTTAGGGGGTCTGGGTCAGTCCCATGCTTTCCACACAGCCCTCAATCTGGAGTCCAAGAGCTCCCCCTTGTTCAGGTCAGCTGTTTCTGTGGGTTAAACCGCCCATCTTAACTCCTTTGCCCATCAGTTCTCTCTTTCTGACACTGGATTCCGGGAGTTCAGTGTTTGTCTCATTTTCCACCCTATGTTTTAAAGCAGATAGTTTTCTTTAAATGACATGCAAAGGTCTGCGAGATGGCCCAGTGTTTAGGAACCTTTGTTGCTCTTACAGAAGACGTGGATTCTATTCCCAGCCCCAATCTGATGGCTCACAGCCATCTATAGCTCCAGTTCCAGAGAATCCTTTGGCTTAATGGATACTTGGCATGCATGTGGCACACATACATACATGAGTGCAAAACTCTCATAAAATTCAATGAAATAACTAATCCTAAAAACATAAAAATAATATATACATATTATTAAAAATTTCGATATATAGAAAAATTTACTAAGAGAACCATGGTGGATAGGGGTGGCATACACCTTTAATCCCAGAAAATTGGGAAGTAGAGGCAGGCAGATCTCTGAGTTCAAGGCCAGCCTGGTCTACAGAGCAAGTTATACAGAGAAACCCTGTCTTGAAAAACCAAACCAAACAAACAAACACCACAAATGAGTACATTCTCAACTTCCAGATGATTGGATGATGGCTCTATAGGCAATTTTGCATAATGTTGAAGGATAATTAGATTTTATTTTCATTTTGCTGTGAGCCTGTCATGAATTGGATGGAAGGAGAGTTTGCTACTGTGACCACACACATTTGTCTATCTTATTTGAGGTAACCCAAGCAATGAGAATGCATATAAGCTCAGCATGCTGGCATTTGAATACCTTCAGATATGTCTCACAGCCTGGGAGCGGCCTTCTGTGAAGGGTATGAGTTGTTAGGTTAGATTTTAGGCTGTTTTATTAAAAATAACTGCCTGGCCACTCTTCTGCATTGGTCATTGGCCAGTAATGTCAAAATCGCAGGCCAGCATTACCTGATACAGCTCATTTCTCCACTGTTATGCAGCTAGAAGAGCAGGCATGTGATGGATGGGATGCCAGTTGTCACATACATCTCCTTGCACTCAGTAGCTGATGGATTGTAGAGACCATTCTCTCTGCTGCTCCAGGTGACACATAGAGCCAAACCCTCCTTTATGAAGGTTCATATATTCCCCTTGTTAGACGCAGATCTGCTGCTAGGAGACCCCGTGATTCAATCACTTCCTATTCGCTGAGGAACTGCAAACAGCTGCTGGGCAGAGTCCACTGCCAGTGTGTAGTGAACCCTCTGCCCCTACCCACCCTCTGAATTTGATTTGCCTAAACTCTGTTTTCACAGCTGTAGCCCATGTTCAATGTCAATGGTGGAGAGCAAAAGTAGAGATGGAGAAGACAGGACATGGTACTTCCGAGTGCACGCTGTGCCTACCGTCTCTTCCTGCCTTGCTCTATAAAATCCCCACACTGAGCTGCAAATAGTACTTGGATTCTGGGAAGAACAGCCTGCAATTCTATGAGCTTTTCCTGGATGCCTTTGGGTGTTTCTGCAATCAGCTCCCTGTTAAGCGGCAGGTGACTCTGGCCACATTTACGCACTGGCACTGTCTCCAGCTGCTTCCAGCCAAAAGTTTCTGATAGAGTTGAAACCTCACCATTACAGCCTTCAGTGTTCAGA